AGTCTGATCAATATAAACCATAAAATATTTAACTGATACAATTTATAATATATGCAAATGAGTATTCGCATAACTATTGTAATGAATAAAATATTTTTCTAACGTATATATTACATACCTAGGTACATAACAATTGCATGATTTTTATATTCGCTGCCTACCCTGGTTCCTCACTTACAACACAAATCCGGTAACTCCCGCTTTATTGCTTTTTGAATAGTTACAATTAATTAATTTTGGCAATTACACTTAGTAATAATATAATAATTACAATTAATAATTGAATAATTTCATTTAATTACTTATTCATGTCCCACTTTAAGTAATATCGCTATATTGTAATATTTCTTTTTTTAAATTTACGTTATTTTTCTTTTATCGGCTTTATGTTTTCACCCGCACCATAAATAACTACTCACTTGCACTTAAACAGCAAGTTGAGTCCATCTATGCAGATATCAAGCCTTTAGATCTCAGAGAATTTGTTATTTTTTCATGAATATTTCATATTACTTTTTTTCCAAAAGAGTAAGGACTAGACAGTGTCATGAAATGATAAGATCTGTTCAGTTGCTCCGATTAAATTTCATTGTCTGTGCTTCAGCAGAATCTAACTGAACGTTGAATTTTCAGAATTCATAGCAGCATGATGTGCAGGTTAATTCTTTGCAGTTTCTCAAGAAGTAAAACTGTACGTATCTCAAAACTGAAATCGCAGTTTTCTGTCAGAATCTACCTGAAAGTTGAATTTTCATAATTCATCGTAGCATGATGTGCAGATTAATTCTTTGTAGTTTCTCAAGAAGTAAAACTGTACGTATCTCAAAACTGAAATCGAAGTTTTCTGTCAGAATCTACCTGAAAATTGAATTTTCATAATTCATCGTAGCATGATGTTTCAAATAATTCTTTGCAGTTTGTCAAGAAGTATAACTGCACATATCTCAAAACTGAAATCGCAGTTTTTTGTCAGAATCTACCTGAACGTTCAATTTTCACAATTCATTGCAGCATGATGTGCAGTTAATTCTTTGCAATTTCTCAAGAAGTGTACGTATCTCAAAACTGAAATCGCAGTTTTCTATCAGCATCATTCTATCAGCATTTTTATCAGCAAAGCATCTATCGTTGGAGGGCTCAACAGATCGAGTTTGGTAAACCAGATTACCTGGCAAGACGGAATCTAATGCATATTTTCTATAATCTAATTATATATAATCTAATGCATAAGATGAATCCAAACTATGTAACCATCATAGTTTAAATAGAATGAGTTTCTTTAGTAAACCCTCCAAAATCGCATAGCTCTTCTTAGGCAGAGAGAGAGTTAATATGTTTTGATGTAACGCAAACGTGACAACCCAGTCAAAACGCAAAAGTGATTTTCAACTTCTTGTGCTTCTGAATTTAAACTAATGCCTCAGTATGGTCACGAATTTACACTAACAACGATCAATTTAACAGTCATCAGTTTAAACATCAGTGTTTGGAAGCAGTTAAAAGACACGCAGCTTTTAGTGGTATACCATTTAATGAACAACAGTGAGATAATGAACTGTGAAGTTTAGGAAGAAGCGAAAATCAGAGCCTTCCCTTGTGACCGCCCTCTAGTTTTAACAATGATCATTTTAACGAAATGCTGAGGGCTATTCCGAGGAGAACATGTATAAACTTAAAGAAAGACACGCGATGTTCCGTTCACTGTTGTGTGGATTCTTATCGTAGTGACGATGAGAGTAACATTTTGGAAAATGAATACGTCATTAACATAACATCTAAATACAAAAACACTCAGAATATGTTTTTCACTTCTTCATCGAAATAAAAATTTTAATTTTTTAATGATACAGCGATAAGTGACAAAAAATAAATCGCGTATGACAACAGGAGGAAATGAACACAACAACCGAGAATGACACAGATATAGATGGACCGGAGGTTTAGCCCAAATGGGCATTAGGCCAGAAGGTCTATTAGTCTCAAAACGGCATTTTGCGTCGGAATAACTTTCCAGATTGTTGCAACAAAATATTGTGGCCCTGCATTATACTTAAAAAATAAATAATGAAGCATCTGCATGAATGTATTTATCTTTCTTGCTCTGTAAAAGATGACGGTACCTGGAGCGATCAAATTTTGAATAACGTAATCCTCCATATGAACATGGGCAACTAAAAGCCCGAATTTTGAATTTATTTTATTATCTATTTCATATTTTTTACATTTTAATGAATTTAGATTTAAAAATAGCAACGATTTCAAAGAGAGCAATGACAACACAATAAAAAAAATTATCTCCAGCGTGCCAAACTGCCTATCGGAAATTCTAAAGGTATGCTGTTTTTAAATTTTTTTTTTTTTTTTTGGCTTCTTTGGCTTGTTATTCCGTAATTTATGCCAACACATGTTTATCCATAACGAAACTGCGTAATTATTTTCTTTAAGCAGTGTTAAATTATATTAATTTCAGGGAAACAAAGCTCAAATAGAGGTACGAATTTTAATATTTTACATTATGTGCTTTATAAACAAAGTTATTAGTGCAGCTATAATAGTTTTACATTATCATTATACGGAAAATGCTAATAATCAACGTTTCAAAAATCACATGAATTGAAATTCTATTATTGCATTTAACTACTGTTGAAAAAGGTAAGGAATCATTCTTGAACTTATTTTTGAAAGTGATGGGAAAGACTGGTGATCTAAGCGAATTTGATAGAGGGCAGATTGTAATGGCCCTAATTTCGAAACTGCGCGATTGGTAAGTCCTTCACGACCTGCCGTTGGTAGTATGTTTGCAAAGTTGTAAAACCGGCAGTAGAAGGCCAAGGTATTGGATCTCCACGCGTCATCAAGAAAAGAAAGTCGCAGACTGTCGCGCTTGCTTAACGGTACAGCAAACTCGACGTCAGATAGAGGCTCAGCTGACAGACCAATATAATACAGGTCCAAGAGCAAGTGCTTCGGGCCAAGGCGTTGGCTTCCGGAGTACCTTTGCTGAAAACAGCAATAACCTCCCCAACTTCGTTAAGAAAAACTGAATAATAAAGAGTTAAGCATGGCTAAAGTAAAGAACGAGAACCGTTAAGGGTTCAAAGTTACAAGAGATCGATAAGAAGTCCACACAAATTGATGAGAACTTCTTTCAACTCCTATCTTTACTTAGGTAGGGGTCAAAGACCTCCCGCCGCGGCAGTTGAGGAGAGAAAGAGGTGACGATTGAGGCGATTACCTGCACGCGCCAGCGTGGATGGTATCGAAAACAGATTGAAAGAAGATGGAACGGGAACACGCAGTTCAACTGACACTGTCGTATAGGGGACTGAGCAACAGACGACCCACTCGTGCACCTCTGTTGATCAAGCGTCATTGTCAACTATGATTACAGTGGTCCTGGGAACATCGAGACAGAGCTATGGATAAGTAGAAGACAATTGCCTGGTCGGATGAATCATGATTTCTCACTCATCACATTGATGGTCGTGTTAAGTACCCCGTCTTCCAGGCGAAACAGTTGCTCCCCTTTGTATAACAGGTCATACACAGGCTGATGGTGGCGGTATTAAGCTTTGAGGAACGTTCTCATGAGCAGCCCTGGGACCCTTAGATGTGGTAGAACAGACCATGAAAGCTGTGGACTGAACATAACTGCACCCTTACATGGTTGCACCCTTACATGGCATCTGTCTTCCTAACTGGAAATGGAATCTTCCAGCAGGACTATATCACAACACTCGAATTCTTTGGAGGCGCATAAGGATGAATTCCATTTAATGTCGTGGCCACCTAACTCGCCAAATTTCCATGACATTTGGGATGTCATGCAACGGCAGCTCAGAGCTCAAACATCCAACCATGTCGGAATATCTCGAATTTGCGTGACCGCTACTTACATATTTGTACAACCTGTCTCCAGTCATCTACCAAGAACTTGCGGCATCTATGTGCAGCTGTTTTGCAGGCCAAAAGTCGCCAACCCGTTATTGAATTATACGCTGATGAGCCAATAATGTTTTAACTCTTCAGTTTATAATCGCTTGCATATATTTGTTACTTTTTATTTTTCTTCTAAATGTATATTTATCAAATTTCAGGTTTAATTTTGCTTCCATATGTACATAAAACAAAAAAAGCTTGAAATTTTGACTTAACTGCTAAACCAATGTTATAAAAAATATAAAATATACATTTGAAAATTATGGTAATTGTTAATGCAATATGAAGTATAAAAATAAAGATTTCATATTTAAACTTTTAACCTCAATGAATTATTTGAATATTATGAATTCATCATATTATATTTCAAATATATGACTAAAATAAAACGTTTTATAAAATGTAAAACTTTACTCAATAAAAACGTCAACCTTAATAAAAATAATACTCTGATAAATTTTATTACATAAATGCTAGCATGCTAATTTTGTTATTAAAAAGATTCCATATAATCAATAAAAACAAGTTAAAAAATGGCATATGAAAAATAATAACTACCATAACATGTTGCAAACAAAATTATATCATTCGTTATAAATACCATTTTTCGAGTAATTTAATCAGAAAGCGTTCGATTAAGATTAGATTTTGTTGCAATGAAATATCAGAATAAATAACCTAATAAAACTTTACCTTCAGTAGAACAAAAGCCGTAGAATTCCATTTAATTTTTTGCTATTACTAAAAACAATCATAATTCAGACTTCCGTGCGCTTCTTTCTTTCGCGGTATATATTATTTGTTTTTCTACGCCTGCTCCATTTCGGAATTGAAAAGACAATTAATTTCTTTATTAAACACAAGAATTAGAAAAAAAAAATTAGAAAAAAAAAAAAGAAATTTAGAAAAAAAAAAAAGATTAAAAAAAATGCAGCAGTATCACCATCTAAATTCCGGAAGAAAAATAATAAAAATAAAATAAAATAAAATAAAAAAACTGAAGACGAGAATATTAGAAAAACGGGGAAAAAATAATCCATGAATATTAATATTTGTCTTACTTTCGGGCACAGGTTTTCTTTCCTGGAGAGGCAAACCTAAAAAAATTAAAAAGAAGAGTTAAAATAAATCACAAAGTTAAGGAATAGAAATATAAATAAAGAAAAAAAATGTACCAACTAATATTATTGCGAGAACGGAAGTTGAAGTAAGGAATCTGTTTGCATAATTTAATAACGTTGTCTTCATTACTTATTCGTTAGTTTGATCATAGGGATAACACGCAATACTTTGCTGTGGGGAGAAACGTGGAAAATCTAATAAAATAGGGTAGATCGCTTTCGGTGAAAGAACTTTTAATAAAATGAATAATGCATATACGCAAGATGAACAATGGAAGATCCAGAAATGACTAAGACCGTGGTAATATCCGTTTTCCTATTCCTAAATTTAGCAGGATAATGAAAATGGAGTTTAGACATATGTGAATAGAAGAATGTGCAAAATTATTTTAGCACTTACATTACCGTGTAACCTAGAAACCGCAAACACAGAACCGCGTAATTATTGTTCCTTAAATCTGTGTTACACATTATTAAATTATTTTGTGTTTGAAAAGAAAGAGGGTTATTAAATATATAGGTTTTGCGAAATGCAAACTTAGCATTTGTTACCGTCAAAACAATTATTAACCAATTCTTTTAAATGATGTGCATATTACATAAACCGACATTGTAATTTTAGGCAATATAGTGCATCCCACAAAATTTATCAGATTGATTTTATTTCTCTTGTTTACTTTCACGACTCTCGTAATTAATTCACGCCTATTCGTTTCCTTTCGTTTGCAACGCGTTTTGGAATTGCCGTCTATAGAATTCGGTCGCTAGAATGTAGCTGACCTATAACTGTTTTAATACTTATTTTTAACTATGTTATCGGATTATTATTAGATGTTTACGTATGGATATTTAATCATTATATGTTTATAATTTGGTTTGTATAAACTGAGGGTGCCATTTTCTTGACGGACAGTAAATAACTCTTATTATCATTTATTGTACTTCTACAGTTATAAACAACAATACGATGATAATTAGCAATTCTAAATATAAATAAAATATATCAAAGAAAAATTAACCATATACAATATTTGTATCTTAATACCAAAAAAAAATTAAACCTATACAACGCAAAAATAAATGTCAATGAAACCCATATTCAAACGACAGATTAAACACTAACAAAAGCTAAAAAAATTATATTATTATTATTCTACATTTAACGATATTTCTGGATCAATGCCAGATAAAATTTGATGCCAAATTATTCTGAATGCGTGCTACACCAGTATCAGAGGTATTGACTTATTTACGAAATCTGCAGCACTTTTGAATGGTATTGTTATGTTTCTCTTTTTATAGAAAATTATCATAAACTTGGTTGGGAAAGAATTTAATGAAATATGACAAGAAGAATGGGATAATGGGGATACAAGAATTATTACAAAGGAATATTAAGTTTTCCGAGACTGACATTTATTTCAAATAATAACAATATATTCAACTAACTCCCAAATAAATTACTTAAATTGAAAAGGAAACAAATTACGAAAACTTTCCAAGAGAAACAATAAAAGTATTGCGAAGAAAGTGAATTTGAGAATAAATAATCACAACCTGTTCTTATTCTTTTATTTACTAAGTATTTTTGACGCATACAGAAAAAAGAGAAATATTTTTATGCAAATAATTATAAACTTCTCAAGTTATTAGTATAATTTTCATAGCTTTTCGATTATGATAAGGTTTAAAATCTTCGGAAAAAATAACTAAAAATTATCTTCATCAGTTATTACAAATGTTAATTTCGGTCAGCCTTTTTCTTCTTAGATTTATTATAAGGTGACCAGACGTCCCGCTTTTGGCGGGACAGTTCCGATTTTTAACAGTTTGTCCCGCGTCCCGTGGCGATTTAAAAAAGTCCCGATTTTTGGGAAGAATGCCCGACAAGCTAGGGAATGGCGGGAGAACGAGTAGGAATATACGGCTATTTCGCCAGGATATGAGTTATATTATTTTTATTAATTTTATAATGTCGAACTTTAATAATAGCAATTTATTGTTGAGAATTGATTATCGAGAACTACTTAACAAAGTTCGCATTCTTGATCAGTTATTCGAATTCACCACCATTGCTTGGATTTAAAGAACAATGGCATTTCATTGGCATTGGCAACGACGAAAACATTTTGTAGCTGTCTCTCATACGGTACACATCGTACTGCGTGCTAGTGCTCGTTAAACAAGTGATGCCAACAAATCAGCTATTCAGATAATTAGGTAACTTATTTATTTAGTTCATAAATACATAAATTTTCATGAATATAGTAGACAGTACTCGTATTATTTATATTTTACAGTGGCGGCAAAAAGTCTAGCGCCGGCCTTGGAAGTGACACTTATGTTACGTCTAGAAAGAAATATAGGATTAAAATTTAAATAATTTTTAAAATACAGTTACTTAAAAATTACAGTTTTTAAAATACAGTTACAGTGAAATTAATTTAATTTATAGATTGACAATAAAATATGTTCATGTAAGTATGTACCTACTTACTGTGTTTTTAAGCTATATGTATATAAATATTCATAATATCCTTTTTTTTTTTTTTTTTTTTTTTTTTTTTTTTTTAAGATTTTTTAACATAATGAGTAAGAATAGAGGATGCAAATTCAATGATGATCTAGGAAGTGAATTTCCTTTCGTTAAAAAAAAAAGCTGTCGAAAAATTTTTGAAAGTATACGATCCTTTGAAATCCTACTTTCTATCACAGGATAAATATCCTAGAATTTTAGAAGAGTTTTCTGAAAAAGAATCTTCTAAAATTTGGCTAGAAGTTTTACGCAATCAAGCAACTCTTTTTCAAAATCCTATAAAACATATTGAAGGTGACAAAATTTCGGTAATCGAAATAACAAAATGAAGTTAATAATTTAAAATTTAAATGTCAAGAACGGTTAGAAAATAATTTTCTCCCATTAACTCTCCATAATAGTATAAGCCAGCTAGAAGAACTATGTGCAATAAATCGTGCATATATCATGAATCATGTCATAAGTTCTATAGTTACTGCCTAGATTATTTAGGTACAATAGTACCATAACAATGGTAATAAATACATAACAATGTATTTATTACCATTGTTGTAATAAGTAGTAATAAGTACATAACAATGGTATCGAACATTTTCCCTCAAATGAGAAAGATGACAAGACAAAAATAATACTGTAGAGTCATTAGGTTAATTGGAAGCAGGAGAAATGAGCTACCGCCTTCGCCGAGAATCGAACCGCGGACCTCTGGATCTTCGTGATGTGATGATCTGTCCAACGTGCAGACCACCATACCACGAAGGCATGCGAAGAAGCTTATAATACTATGCATAATTTCTTTTAATGTATTATCTTTGTAAATTGTACTTGTGTTGAAATTTTAAAAATATATTACAATACTATTTTTCGTTGCGTGAAAATTTGTGTTGCTCCATACAGACCAAATGTTTTATCACCCCCCCGGTCAATGGTGTCCCGCTTTGCCATTGTTGAAATCTGGTCACCTTAATTTATTGGCTTTCAGAAAAAGACAGAAAAACTTTTCGCAAATAAATGTACTTCAAACAAATATCATGAGTTGATGATTAGCAAATTATTGCTAATCAAATTTTCAGCTTTAAGTCTTTGAATAAGATATATAGCCTAGCTTAAATTATTTAGATCCCTTTGTAAATATTTTCAGGCGTTACTTCCCTTTGTTTTCAATGTTAAAAAAATAATGTAAAATTGGACTCCAAATCATTAAATTCTTACACGTATTATTCAAATTCTCGTCATAATAATTAATATAATAGTCATGTGGCTCAGAGGCCGTCAATTTTAAATTACTGTCTTACAGTACGTGGTGAGTTACAGGGTTACAATTTATTTATGTCATTATTTTAATGTAAACTTTATTCCATTTTTTATTTCTGATGTTATGTATTTTATAGAGGTAAGTTTTATTGTAAATATTTTTACATTCTTTCTGACATATTTATATTGCTACGAATTTTGTACATAGGCAGATGATTTTAGTGCAATTTTATGTGAAATTATTGTATTTTTTCTTGCGTAGTGTAACGCGAAAATCTGAAGAGAGAAGCTATGCCAGAAAAGTAAGAGCACAGGGGCACGTCTATTTAACATTATATAAATGGGTATCTCGGTAACTGGGCGAGATATCACCAAGTTGACAACGGTTTTGGCGACTTATTGTGTCGAAGTTGGAGATCATTTGGCAACATTTTGGTCCAGTCCCTGTATCACCTTAATAAACATTGTAACTTATTTAATGTAATTAACCACTGTGTTAGCTGTAATTGTAATTAGACCCTCATTGCTTTCCAGTAATTTCGAGAAGCAGAAAATACTAGAATTGTATAAATAAGTACTGCGGCCGGTTGAAAACTTATAAGGCCGGAGACAGCATCTGCTTTCATTCGCTTAGTTACTGTTGTTGCGAGTTGTTTGTTCCGCGTGAATTGGAATATATCCCAGTTAGCTTTCTCTTTGGCTGCGCTTTGCATTGCGTTGTGTTAAACGTTCTTAGTAGTTTGAAGTGTAACTACTGATTGTACTCTGTGGTACTGTGAACACATGCACGAGAATTTCTGTGGAAAATTCCGGAAGTGCTTCTTTTGATTAAATAAATTTTGTTAACCTCCCATCGGACCTGTCTGCTTTCAATCTATTACGAATCCGTACGCAAGCAACAATATTCATATTCATATTGCATATAATATATATGCTTTATATTCTATGTTAAATTCATTTTGGCATTCATTTGGATGATGTCAAAATATTTTTTTTTCTCAAAGGACGAAATTTGTTTTGTACAGACATTAGGTTATTTTGAAGCAGAAGATGTGGAAAATGAACAACGACCTCGACGGGACTCGAACCACGGACCTCTCGAATTCGCGTCGAACGTGCTGACCGCTACACTACGAAGGCATGATAAGAAGGCGGTAGAAATACCTTATATGCTCTCCCTTTTAAA